GTTCTGTTCACTCTTTGTTGAATGAATTACATTCAATGAAAAAAAAGTACAATATAAAAAAATGTACAGCAAATAAATATCGATAAAAATCAGCGAAAGAAATTCAAGTTTGTTGGCTTTATATTTTGTGTATGCTCGTAGTTGTGCGAAAAAGAGACTTTTACTTACAGTTCTTTGCTATTGCAAATTGAATGAGAAAAAAAAAGATTTGGCTTTTACTTACCTTACCCATGAAAATCTTTCGTTGCCATTGTTAAATTCGTGCACGATCTTACATTGATTTTATGCAGCGATATTCTCATTTGCATACACACTTTGTACGATTATGTTTTCTTCTCTCATTTAACATTGGTTTTGAGCGTGTATTTTGGTTGTTGAATGTGGCTCATTTTTTTAACATATGTGCTACTAATCACTTCTGTCCGAACCGCAAGCGAATGTGAGTGGAATTTTGATTTTATTTACATATTTTGGTGTATAAGTGATGTAAATATTTGTATTTGCTCCAAAGACCCAGTTCACGTTCTCTGTGAAAATGCGCAATAGAAACGCAAAAAAAACAACAACAAAATACTCATTTAGCGTTAAAAATGCCATCAAATTGGACGGGAAAATGGTAAACGAACAATTGAATGAAACAAAATTTCGTTCATCCGGTCTTTTAATCAACGCAAATTGTCATGCGTTTTTGTAAACAGAAAGGTCAAATAGCGCCATCGTGCAATGGTCGTGTCGTCCCCTCATTTTTTTAACACATTAGAATTAGTTCCACTTATTTTTCGAAAGTCCTTGAATTCAATTTACTTCAAAGACACTTTTTTCTGCTATACATGCGAATAAGAACACAAAAAAAACAAGAACACAAAATGCAGTTAGAAAAACTGGTGAGGAATTTCTCTGTGGGTGCGGTGTCAAACAAACAAAAAACACCATGGCAAATATAAAAAAATAGTCCTTCAATTTTTTGTGTCGGTGTTAGTTCATTATAAATTATGTATATGTACTTGACATTAAAATCTTGTGCGCCTGTTGTCATCAAAAATAGATTGCGTGATATCTTTTACTTAAACTGCACCGAAATTTGACGCGCTTTCCATTAAGTTTATTAAAAATAAAGTTTGAACTAATTCGAAACCGCTAGTGGCATACAAATGAAAGAGGGAGAGAGGGAGATAGAGAAATATCAAGCTACTGTTCGTTCTATGATAAGAGCATTATGAGTGACATCATTCTATTTGTGCATGGGTTTGGTTAGATGTGCGTTCGCTTCTGTTTATGTTCGCATTGTTTATAGAGTCGATATGTGTGAATAAAGACGAGTCTTGGAATTGGCGGAGAGTGATAAGAAGCGCATGATTATTCAACAATAAATGGTTTTTCGTACAATGTTTATGTGTGTGTGTGTGTGTCTCAATGAGTACGCAGTCCATTTTTCTGGGTTTGGTCAATTAGCGCTTATATTTACTGAATGTCATGCATTTTATTCATCATTCAACGGTCAATATCTAACGGTTTTAACGGTCGCTTGTGTAAGCATACACACGTATACATGCCCATACATTTAATATGAATAAAACTTGTCTTTTATGGGCCACAACTGACTAAGCAATTCTGATTTACACTCATTTGATCAATCAATCATTTGTGCAAATGTTTGAAATTGACAAATGATTTTTAGTTGCGATTTCGCGTTTTTACATCAAATTAACTAACCATTCACATGAATTGATTGACTGCCAAGCAAACTAAATGTGAATAAACATACGCACCGAAACACCAACCGAGCCGATAAAATACAAAATCAAAAAGGAAATTGCCTTAAACATACAACGCAAAAAAAATGCTGCGTTTTTTCTCCATCTCTTTCTTTATTGACTTCGCCCTAAAGTTGCCTTTTTTATGAGGTATGAACGACAGGTTTTAAGAACATAAAATCGATTCCAATGAATGTAGGTGTGAGCTATGGTTGCCAATATGCCAAATCAAAACATAAAATATGCAAGAAACCACTCCATACCACAGCCACACAACTCTACAACGCTCGACGAAATAAATTAAACGCAAAACGAGTTTCAATTAAATTTAAAAGAAAAAAAAGCATAGAGAGAGAAGATTCTGTACGTCTGACTGTTATAGTATGGCTTCGCCCGAATGCACGTCGTATCAAACACATTTTAATGGAAAATTGTATTATTTATAAGTCAAAATGCGAAGCATCGATAATAATTTAAAATAATCGACACATTCACAATTTGTCAACGGAGTATAAAATTGAGATAGACCGAGAGAGGGGCAGAGAGAGAGAAAGTGTGTGCAAATGACAACAACATTGACAACGCAATATGGTCACCATATTCTCGAAGTAATAAAAACATTTTAAAATGATACTCCATAGCATTCGGAGTTGTTCGATTCTTAGTCGCGTTCACTCCCAAAATCTATGTAGGTGTTCATTTCAAGTTATTCTTTTCATTTAGAATAATTTTCGTTGCTTCGTTTGCTGCTGACATTCTTTATGGTCATGTGTCGATTGTCATTGTCACTCTCAATTGTGAACACCATTTATGGCAATGAATTTGAAGAGAAACATTTACGCAAAAAAAAAAGGCATACGCAGGAAATATTCTAATAAATTGTTTTGTTGGCAAGCGAAAATTAAAATGAGCGCGCGTTTATCTTCATTATCGCGTATATGGTGACACTGTGAAGGGAGACTTATTAAAATTGAATTAATTCCATATTAAAACTGATTATATTGCTTTTAACCATGGAATTGTTTTAAGGCACCTGATAAAATATATGAGAATGTGTGACGCGTTTCGTTCCATTAACATTCATTGTTTGTACACATAAATAAAAAAGTGCTTGTATACAACAGTGCAGCGAGTGCGAATGGGCGATAAATTAATGCAATGTCAAAAATATTTATGGCGAACCGTCTTTTGCCATCACACTCAATTTGATTTGAAGTAACAAATTAAGCGCTCGGCGATCGAGCGGAGATTTGCCACAAGCTTAAAGAGTTCACAAGAGTGAAGAGGAGAACGAAACAAAGATAGAATGATTGAGAGCGACTGAGACCGATGTCGAGATATAGATGGGTGTCGTATGCTTGGATGATGCTGAAATCTTTTTAATTTACGATACACAACAGTGATTCTCTCCGTCTCTATCTATCTCTGTCACACAAACCGACGTGCACTCAATTAATCTATTTATTACGTATTCCAACGGAAACTGAAAATCACCGAATGAAATTCTGTGTGGAACGAAGTGAAATATAAAATGATATATTTATGATATTCAAATCATTACCGGTTCCATACAATGAATCGAACGAAATTAAAATGAAGATAAAGAAAAGAAGCGGAAAAAAGCGAAAAAAAGCGTTTACAAAATGAAATGGAAGAGAACGCAAAAAAAAGAAGAGATTGTAAACAGGCGGTGATGTTGATTTTGTCCATTTAATTGGCGATACGGCAGACAGGCGATTTGTTATTGAACATTGCATGTGTGAAAAATTCTTGTACAAATTGCCAGACAAAATTGAATTTGCCATTTGGTGTGGCGATGTATATGTATCGAAGCAATCGACACCATCGAAAATTGAGAGCGCGCCTAAATGGATTATAAATGCGCTCCATCGAAATGGAAAATCGCCAATTCAATTCAACGCGCATTGAATATCGATTCGAGATATACACAACCGCATATCCACAAAATTTTTACGATATTTTCACTGTAATTTTGGCACATTTGCAACGGAGCGCGATGTGCGCGCGTAAACAATTTTCTACTGTTCATATTTTCGGTTCTGCTGCTCATATTTTGCGCTCTTTCGTTGTGCATACATACTATTTTTTTGAGACAATCAACCGAATGGACAAACAAATTGCCGCCGTATCGGGTGAATCTGCAATGCATATGAATATTTTTATAGAGTGGGTCATGCGTGCCTGCACAAGTTACGAATGCGCTTGTTATAACCCAAGACAAGTAATAAAATAATTACTTTGTTTTCATGAAGATTTATGAGTTTTTCATGACTTCATATGTGAAGTTTTATGTGCATCTCTCTCTCGTTTCGTACGAATAAAAAACAAAAGTTCGACAAAATAAATCGCGAAAGCGTATGCAAAGAGCAGTCATATAGCGGACCAACAAAGATTCAAATCAACACACAATCGCATTTACTGTTTGTGTAATTTTAATATGTATAACTTTAAGTGTATCGTTTAAATGCATGCAATCAGCTTGCAAACGCTCGAGCGCTTGTGACACAAAGACAAAGGAAGCGATGCATTTGAATTTGTGTGTCAGATTAATCAAAGCGAGTATCGTCAATTCAAATAGATTTATAGCATTTCTTGGCATGGAATATTCTCTTGAGCAATGAAAAAGAAGATTGAATGAATAAGAACCAACAAAAAAAAACTTGAATCAATGATATAAATGAATTAATTAAAACACAAATTATCTAATGCAGTATGAATTTCTAGTTTTCTGTAATAATTGTTTAATTGATATGAAACTTGTTCTACAAACAATCACAAAGACCTAAATGGTCGCCGATAAATTTAATTTATATTTCTCTGTCGCTGTTCGCAAAAATATTCGTTTCATTGTTTGCGACACTATTCTTGTTTCTTTTATCGGCCGTCACAAACATACACAAAATTTATTAATGAAAACAAAAAAAAAAACAGAAATGTAAATAAAACTTTATTTTGATGTCGTTCGACTGAATAATTTGTTTTTCGAAATCGATCGCCATTGATTGGCGACACCGTTCTAGTTTTACGTATTCAAACTGAATAAACTGAATCAATAATATCTGTATATCCTGTAAACGAACACGTGATGAATAACGTGGATATGTATTTGCATCTGAATAAACAACATATTTCTATTTGACGTTGCTTTTGCTTTGACTTTTATTTATTTATGTTTATCATTAATTTTTGTGGTTTTTTCTTTCTCTTTCTTTCTCTTCATCACAGGAGTATTGTCGCTTTCCGAAGCTGGAAGAATGCGCACATTTCCACTATGAACGTGTTCAATTGGGAAAAATCCATATTAAATTAAACGACGAAAAATTCGATCCGCACAATAGTAATTTAATAGCACAAGATGCCAACACATCCGGATCATCGACGGCATCGCAACAATTATGGTTTATAATTCGTGTTACGGCCGAAAAAACGGAACCATTTTTAATACGACGTTCATTTGAAAATATGAAAATGTTGGATGAAATGCTGCATCGATGCGTATACGATCGAAAAATCAGTAATTTGGTTGATTTAAGCGATTTGGAAAGAGATGATCTTCAAATGGACAGTATAGTTGCCGAATATTTGGAACGATTCACTTCAATCGTTTCGGATTCACTGACATGCGGTCAAATATTGAGCTGGTTTCAATTGGACAATAAAGGTCAACGTCTTCCACTAGCCGATTCAGATACCATGAAAAGCATTAACACACCGGCTGTCGGTGCTGCCTATGGCATTCGCAAGTAAGTAACCGTTCAAATCGATGGAAAAATATTTTCATTTATCTCAATTCAAGATCTTTCTCGTTTGAAATGGACGATCGATTGATGGTGTCATTAAACTTTTTTTTGTTTCCCTTTCTGTGTGTCGTAGATATAATGCGCAGGCATGTGATGAAATTTCGATTGAAGTCGGTGATATGATATCGGTGATCGATATGCCAAGTCCAGCCGAATCGGTATGGTGGCGTGGTAAAAAGAGCCACTTGCAAAAGAGTCAATACGAGGTCGGTTTTTTTCCACAAAGTTGTGTGGCTACGATAGGCGACAAGGTGCCGCGTAATCTAGTATTGCCAGCACCATTGGTTGGCTCATTGGATGTCTCACCAACGAAACCTGTTCTACGCAAACATGGCAAATTGATTGCATTCTTCCGTAGCTTTATTCTATCGCGGCCATCACGTCGTTGTCTCAAACAGAGCGGTATTTATAAGGAGCGCGTATTTTCGTGCGATTTAAGTGAACATTTATTGAATAGCGGACAAGAGATACCAATGGTACTAAAAGTTTGTTCACAATTTATCGAAGAATTTGGCATTGTTGATGGCATTTATCGTCTATCGGTATGTATGATTCGAATGTGTTTCGTCACCTGCCATCAAAATACATGGACAAACTATGTAAAACATTTGTTTGCATTTATTTCTCAGGGCATCACATCAAATATTCAAAAACTTCGTAGTGGTTTTGATGAAGAACGCGTCCCAGACTTGGGCAATCCAGAAGTGAGACAAGATATACACGCGATGAGCTCATTAGTTAAAATGTATTTCCGTGAGCTACCAAATCCATTGTGCACATATCAATTGTATGAGCATTTTGTCGAAGCGATTCAAAATCGTGGTGAGCCCGAGGAAAGACTAAATGCGATGAAAGAAACGGTACAAAAATTACCTCCGCCACATTACAGGTACGGTTGCGATTATTCAATTTAATGATGATTTCCACGAAATTGCTTTGTAAATTGTTTTATTCGATCCTTAATTTGATTGTTTGGTGATGTGTTTGTTTTTTATTTGCAGAACGCTAAAGTATCTGATGACGCATTTAAATAAAATTGCACAGCATTCGGCACGAACTGGAATGACCGATCGAAATTTGGCAATTGTTTGGGCTCCAAATTTGCTGCGTAGTCCATCGCTTGAGGCGGGTGGCGTTGCAGCATTGAGAGGTGTTGGTGTTCAAGCCGTAGTTACTGGTAAGTAATCTTGTGTTTTTGTTGGAAACAAACAAACCACAAAGATAAATTTTGAAGCTGAAAAACAAGTTTTGACATTTTGAATTGTTTTTCTTATCAATTTTGAGATAAAATATGTATTTATTTTTCATTTCATTCATAGAATATCTCATAACAAATTGTCATAAAATATTTGACGAAACATTTGAGAGTGGTCTTGAAACAAGTATCTGCGACCCAATCGAAGACGCTGAAGAGGTGCACTCCGATTCACGTGATCATGAGCTGTCGGCACCAATTTGTATAGAGCGACCGAAGAGTTTGGGTGTTGGTAGTGGTGCTCGATTGATAAGCCTCGAAGAGGCACAAAATCGTCATAATCGAATCGAGTTCATTGACTTGAATAAAACAAATCCAATGAATACACCGGGCGGTTCAAGTTCATACATCGAAGTTGGTGGCGGTCCATCCAGCTTACCTGATAAATATCATACCGTTCTTCCAGTGCCACGAAGTTGGCAAAAACGTAAGACTCATTCATGGAAATCATTGTTTTCGCGTGGCCAACGAAATTCCAATTCAAATGAGCTTAAATTATTGAATCCATCGACACCTAGCATTGCCAAAGAAATTCATCGCGCAAGCATTTCCAGTCCAATCATTGAGGATGATAAATTGAAGCAAATAACACGAAGTTGCCAAAAGAAAGTGATAAAAAGTATTGATTTTGGTGATGGCAAACCAATGGAGATATGCCAACGATCCAGTTCAGCGGACAGCTTACGTACGGCCGGCCACAGTCGGTCCGTTTCACATGATTCGTACTTTGATTTACTTCAGTCACCATTGAGAGCTGTTGCTGTTTCACCGTCACGCGAATTTTCGGAATTGGGTCTCAATTTCGATCGTGAAGAACCCGAAATGAGAATATTCTCGGAAAGCGAAAGTTTGGTCAGCAGTCCAAGAGTGCCGAGAGAAGTAAGTACAAGAAATTGATTTTGAATTAAATTATGAATTTATGCTAACGTTCTTTATTTTTCAATTTAGATGCAATCACGTCGTGTAACACGATGTAGAACGGACGATTCAGGCGCTGTAAATAGCGTAAATCCAAGCCCAAAGAAACAACCGCGTCTCAATTTGCCAAATTCCAAAGAGAATCAATGGAATGCAAGCAATCACAACAACCAATCGGATGACGGCAGTTTGAGAAAACGAACGAAAGTCGAAGAACGGGAAAATAATTTAGAAGAGCGTCAATCATTATCCGATATTCAATTCATTGATAGCATTACACCTGAACATACAATCACAGCGAATACAATTTATGCATGTGCACAAGTTCATAATCCGCCAGCATCAAATCGAACATCAATACTCGAAGAAACGCCGACGGCCGAACGGCCACAGCTTAGAGTCAGCGCTTTAGACAATAAAACCAACGATAAACTTGAGAATAAAGAGAGTCGATTCAGTTATCCGGGTATGGGCGAAAAATTCTCGGATGAAAAACGATTCTTAAGCCGATTTTCGATCAATGACAATAACGATAGGAACCGACGCAGTTTCAGTGATTTCAAACACACCAACAGTCGCAGCAGTGTTGGACTTGTATTGTCAAATAGTTCGCCGGACCATTTGAAAGCAAACGAAAATGATCATTCGAAGTCAAGCATACCGACACCGTCGAGTCCGAGCAAGAGTCCACATTATTCGCTGTTGGGTGAAAGTAGCTCGGAAAACAGTAGCACATTGAATACTCCGGCTTTTGATATGGATATGTCTTCGGCAACGCAACACTTTGATCAACGAATGAATGAAATAAAGAGTTTAATTTGCAGTGCAGAGCCGAAAGATTTGAGCTTACCTATGTCAACGGAAGACACTGAACAAAATGTAATTTTTGAAAAGTTTTTTTTTTTTCATTTAACTTTGAATGTTAACCTTTTTTCGCTATTTTTTTCCACAGACAAACCAAAATCCAAAAGCCGAACCGATAAATATTCGATGCGATTTATCGTTGGACTTGGAAAAATCAAAAATGTCCATCGATGATGCGTCGCCGCCATCAAATAAGCATAATTTAAATATGTCATCAACATCAAATACTCCAAATTTCACTCAAACATCGGGCAGCACCAGTCAATCGATGACACCTAGTGAATTCGGTTATCAAAATTTGAATCGGGCATCGAATGCTGTTTCAATTGAAAGTTCACCAAAGTCAGATGTATACGAGACGCTCGAACAGGCATTTGCAAATTATGAACAAGTAACGACGCCTGTACAATCGCTACCGCCGATTAAAACGAAAAGTCCAATCAAAGCTACAATAAACATCACATACAAATCACCGATACGCAATGCACCGTCAGCGAACTTTATGTTTACAAATGATCGACCAATATCGCCGGATCCCAATCAATTCCCAGATTATGAACCGGTCGATGTGATTTCATCGGTGGTGACAAAACCATTGGAGACAAGTTTCGATGACAACGGTGTTTACGAGCAACTGAAATTTTTCAAAGGTGCCGTTTCCGAAGTAAATCATTTGCTTAACAACGGCAATGATGTACAACAGCAGCAACAGCAAGGCACACACAATAAGTTTAACAATGATTTGAATACTCCACAAATTGTTCCTACAATCGAAAGTGCAAAAACGGTGACCGCGTCCAACGACCGTGTGTTCGGCGAAACAATTGTCGATGACAATAAAAGTGATTCGGGCGATGTTCTGATGCCAGAGCAAGAGTTAACTCAGGACAGTTTGGAATTTGATGCCAACATCTCGATGTATGAAAATGTACATTTACGAAAATCACCAAATGCATACGAAAACATAAACATGCGTTTGGATGGTAAAACAAAATCACTAAATATACCCGAAACAAATGCCACAATATCCATTGGCAAAGAGAATAGCAAACCGGCCAATTTTACGGTAAAACAATTGGCAAATAAATTCGAAACTAGTCCGATCGATGCACAGCCACCGTTTGATTTTTCAAAACCGTTTGCCCGTAAAAACTGTGATACAAATCGAAATTCGGCAAATCCGCCAAATCCGCCAAAGGCGAAAAATCCACAACAACAACAACTCAATAAAACCTCAAATTTCACACGAAGTCTTGACGAAAATGCATTTGTTCGTGAATTCGGTAGTAGCCGATCGAATGAAAAGGTCAATCGAAGCACACATCAAATTCCAATTGTTACAAATATTCTAACGGAAAACAGTCCGATTCGGCGTTCGATGAACGATTCAACAAAACCGAAACTGTTAAATCCACCAAAACGTTTGCCCAGTTTAACTGATGCCGAGAATAAATTATGTAAAAAAGAGAATATCAATGAAACAATGTCGCCGGCTGAAATAAAAATCACACCGACCACGGAAAATCCGATTTCATTGATTCAACACAATGTGAATTTTGATCAAAAATTACCAACCGACGACGATCGCAATGCGACCAATGTTAGCAACAAAGTTTTAAGCAATTTTAAATTGGATCGCGAACGCATTGAGAGAATCAAAGAAGAGCGTCGACATCAATTGAATGAAAAATTCCGTTCGGAATCGTTTAAATGCGAAAAAGAAAATAGCAAAGCCAAATCAAAGTCAAAAATTGAATTGAACGAATTGAAAGATGCTGATAAGAAAATTTCCGATTCATTGCAGTACAAATCGAAATCACGTAATGAAATTTATAATAAAAATGATGCCGATTCGTCATTGGCATTGATGAGCGGCGCCAATGACGGGTCATTGGGTCGAGTGAGAAGCATTAGCGATGAGAAAAATCAAAACGATTGTACTGATACAACGACCAATATTGATGCACAAAGTGTCGCATTCCGAACAAGAAAATTCGATCGGCGATCTATTGATCTGAAACGTGAACAAGAGTTCAATACAGCATTGAATGGAACGGTTCGAACGTCAGCACATTTGCAGTGAGTTTGCATTGAAATGTGCAATTTTTACTTTGAAAACTAAATATTATTTTTCTTGTTTCAGACGCGATCCAGTGTCGCCACAAATATCAATTCGAGATGTCGCTGCTTTGTTTGAATCGCGATCGCAAAACCACTGAATCACCTGTGGTGCATCGATGTTGCAGGAGTATAACGGCTAATTCGTACCAAAAAATGAACATCCTATTAGGAGTAGTAGGAAATCAATCAAACGAACACATTCGTCTATGAAATTGAAATAAATCCAAAATGGATTATCAAGAAAACATATATTGATTATTATGTATTTTTTCACATATTGCTTTTCGATAATGCATTGTTCAAATACAAAGTATGTATTAGCATGATATATTCGATAGATGATAAAGCTATCACATTCGTCTAAGTAAAATTAATTAAATTATTTCACCGAATACACAAAACAAATATTTATTTAAACACAAAAAGAAAGCATCTTTCTCTGATTTTGGAATGAGCATTTCGGGAAATGTTCATAAACATGCAAAAATGCCCAAAATGCAAGTGTAAATTAAAAATCGCCTCTGAGAAATTGTCATCAAATCAAATGGAAAAGTTGGTTCAAACCAAAATTGATGTGTCACAAAAGGGAAATTCGGTGAAATGACTCTCTCACCTTCTCATATACACTTTAGCAATGTTGTTTTACGTTAGAATTTGCATAGGCTATAAATTGTAATTTACACATTTCACAAGAAAATGAAAGCAAGACAAGAATTGAAAATTCGCCTTGATCATATTTACGTTATAATTACAATTTTCTTATCTAATAATTTCATTAATGTGTTCCTCGTTAGTTTTATTTACCTTCTAAACGATTGCATGAAACATTTTGAAAAAAAATCCCTTTTCCGTTTCCGTATTCTTCGTTGAAATTTTTTTCTTCTTTGTTACACGCTACCTTCTTACTACATCTATATATTTTTATCATTTTCGATTTAATATCATAAATAATGATTCATTATTTAAACCCATTTTTTTGTTATGTTATTCAACAATCTTCGAGGATTTTTTTTGTATTTTATTGAAATCAATTTTTATATAAAAAAAGACTAAACAAATTTAGTTTTAAGTTTTATTGTGTTTTTTTTTTTTGTATATCATAAGTTTTAATTCTTTTTTTATTTTTGTATAATTTAAATCATTCCAAATTAAAAAAAAATACAAGAAAAAAACCGAAAAATATTTTTTATTTACATCGAATGATAAATTTTAGGTTTGGTAAGTGCAATGTGTCTTGGATAAAATCCTTGTGAATTTATTGAGTGAAATTGATTCGAATGACGATTTGAATATATTTTATACAAATATTTGGTTGTTGAATGAGTTAATTTCAAAGAAAAATGTGAAGTGTCAAGCAAAATATGATTTATTGACAAACTCGTAGAAAAAGGTTTCACCAAAACATCAATGCAAAAACCAATTGAAAACTATAACAAATACGTATACAATTTGGATTTTGTGATTTAATCCTCTTTTTTTTGGACAAACCGAATAAAAACGACTGGCTTTAGAATATTTTTTTCCGTTTAGTTTATTTGCAAATTTAAAAAAATTACATAAAAAATTCATAAAAAAATCGCTTGGCACCTGCTTTAACTATTTCTAATAATGAGTGAAATTTGAACCTAAATTTAGGTAGAAAATAAATAAGAATCTAGTTTTTTCATACATTTTAAGTATATTCGATTTCTAAATGTAATTGTCATAGCAAACCCATTTTTACAGTATATTAATTTAAATTAATTGATAGAAAAACAAATACAATTTTGAATGTCATAGCTGATGTAGCGTGTTGTTTACTGTGTTAAGTATATCTTTTGCTAGCTTCAAAAATTATGGAATAAGAATATAAAAGAGCAGGAATTATAATCTGGAATTGACCGAATTGCTAATACGACCGAAAAGACATGATTGGGACGTGTGTCCGTTCAGCCTCTAATATAATTATAACAGATTGTCAAAATAACACAAATTGATATTTCAAAACAATAATAACATATATAAACCAAGAGGTAGTGTTTAAAAATTTGTGATCTTTTTTCAGTTTTCCACAGAGTTCCTCTATAAAATCTTGACATAAAATCAACTGAACTATTTGACCATAGCCATTTATCGAAATAATAATGTATTGCAATTTACACATACAATGAATAAACGCATGCAAAAATAAACCGATATGGATTTGTTTTCAAATGGTTTCAATTAACTGTTTTATCAGGTGTGTGGATGCATCAAGTTGAATTTGGGTTATTATTTTTCATTTAAGTTGAATTTTGTAGTTAGTTTAACGTGGAGCATTCCCGAACTGGAAGGTGCTCATCGAACTAGGCGGGTTCGGCATGGTTGGTATACTACCAACTAATTCGGGTGCTCTTGCCGGATGAAATTTTAATTTGACCATGTATCTTACTTTTACTCGTGACTCGTCAGTTATCACGAATTCGTTGAAGGCTATACCGGTAGTTTCGGTACGTCTAATGAGTTTACCATTTGGGATTTTCAAACCATCAGGTCGTATGTGCAGTGGATCTGGTTGGTATTGTCCAATTGCTTGAACCGATTCGCAGTGATCAATTTTTTTCGTAGTGTTACTAACATATCGAACATCGGTTAACCCGGCAGCGACCTCGCACAATAGAAGCAAGCCAGTTCGATTTGTTGGACAACAATAGCCAGCTGATTTTGTTGCTGAATCCGAAAAATAAATGCCTCTACCAAAGATCGCGCCATGAAAATGTGCTTCAGGCGGCGCGATTTTTAGGCCATTTGTTAAAATTCCAATGAAATTCTGAATGGGTGAACCATGAAATAGCAACTGACGATTAAAATTCTGTTCATGCGGCTGATATCGGTAGAACTCTTCATGACGCGCCACTTCAAACACCTCGTCAACTTCAAACGCCCCTGCATTTCGCGAAAATCTTGGTACCGGATTCACAGTATCATTCAATTGGGTGTTTATAATATAGTTACATATTTGCTTATACATTCCCGATGACTTGTTAAGCATTGTTATTTCAGCCGAATCTTGTAAATGTTCATAGCATATATCGAGTAGGTTTCGCTCTTTATACGATGCTCTGGTAATATTGTCATACTTGAGATCTTTTTGTAATAGATCTTGGAGCAAGTTAATTTTTTGCTGAATTATTTCAGGGGTGTTTATAACTGGAGGTGGCTTCAGGCCAGAATCATGTGGAAAATATGAATAAAATTGATTGGAGGCTGCTTCGATTTCATGCGAGTCACCTGTACTCAGCATCGATGAGATCTCTCCTAAGAGATTCAAAGCAATTTGAATTTGCGGTTTGCTAATTTTTCCCAATGGCATTCGTTCAAAATCCACAAAACAAAATGCAAGCAATGATGAATTCATTACACGCCCAACGAACAATAATTCCATCAATTTGTATAGGGGTTCACTCAGTTTAGTCGGCACGTTGTTATTTTGCACATGTCGATACAAAACATTATAATCCACATTCACAAGATTATACTTTCCGGGTATCTTCTCAAAAGTCTTTGCACCGAATGTATTACCAGTCTTATCTAGATAGATTTGATGAAATGCGTGTTTTGCATCGACCAATGTCATATAGCTCTTTTGACTACAATATCCAGTTAAATTGGCATTGATTCGGCCCTTTTTCTCGCATACCCAGTATCTGCAATGAAAAATAAATGATTTTAAGAGACAGATTCGGGTACATTTTATTTTTCACTAATACTTACTTTGAGTTACCTTCATTGACCAATTGCAATTTAATAAATGAGTTTCTGTTCATATTGATTTCGACAAAGTCCAACATGACTTCGTACCGTAGACTACCTTCGCGATAAACTATGGAATTTTTCCATAATCTTTCGTTGTCATAACTCGTTGGGTTATATTCGTCATTGAAGAGGCGTTTTCGTTCAGGTATACGATCATATGGCTAAAAAAAGCAACAAGAAATCCATTTTTAGTTTCAAAATTAAATAATAAGTATTGGCCAAATAAACTTACATTTCTACCCCATTTGCTTAAGTCATTTTTGACGATCAGATCAATTGGATCATTGTCCATTACTTGGTCAAGTAATTCGTCTGAAATCACTTGGATGCTATGTATAAAAGCATTATTCATCTCCTTATCACCTTTGTTCACAGCGTCAGCATTGCTGATAACTGCCGCAAGACGGGAATGTATCGGACCGGAAGTGACTTTACCGCCCATGGCACGAATCTTCTTTTCGATAACATTTCTTGGATATTTTGTATCGCCAATAATAACAAATTCAAGGTTAAATAGTGGCTGTTTTGTGTATTGTCTAAAATTAAACAATTAAAAGTAATTATTAATTATTTTTAAAGTTAGAGTTCAAAGTTTTCAAGCGAAAAACAAAAATACTTACTCGAATTCATCTTCGTTGAATTCACTCACATTGCGGAGAATGCGTGGACCCAAAATTTCAAAATTGGTTCCCAATAGTTCTTTGTATGCGTCTGGTATTCGGACTGGCATGCGCGTCGGTTCTTTAATTGAGTATTGGCACTTGGTCCAGACTGTAACATATCCAGTGCAACGATAGGTCGAGTTTGCAAACACAAGTTTACCATCTTTGCATGTCGGGCATGGTGCCAATGCACCAAAGGAAATTATATCACACACATGATTCAATTTCTATGGACAGAAATATTCGAATTATAAAAAAAATTATTGAAAAAATTCAGGTCGAGAAAAATTGAGTGAACAGAGAACATATTACTTACATTTATACTTGTTTCGGGAACAAATTGATTCATCTCAGTCAAGATGGCAACCAAATCCGCATCCTTAAGGTTCTTAAGTTTGTCGTAAGTCACAAACATTGAATTGTTTTGGTCTTCAATTTGTTGTTCCAATGTTGGTATAAATTTTAACTTCGTTGGAGGCTCATCAGCAGCCGATGTGCTTGGCAAATTAATATCCACACCTGGCGAAAAATATGTGCGAATTGTCATTTGATCCGAATATCTTAAGTTGGCAAATCCATCGATTTGATCTTCGGAAGCAGGTCGACGTAATTTGAAAAAACACTCTATGTGGAACCATTGTACTTCCCGACAATCGTCTTTCGTGCTCTGTATAAAACAAATCGTTTAATTTAGTTCAGTGTTCACATTAAATGGTAATTAGTACAAAATAGGTACTCACCTGTTGCATAAAACCGATTTTTGCGTGACCACTTTGAATATATTTTCGACAATATCTACAATAGAATTGATCATGCGGTGAATATTCTGCTCGATACGGAAGAATCGCTGACATTTTTGCTGTTTATTTCAACGCAAAGGCACAATCTTATTTCAATTTATAATAATTATTAAGGTGCAATACACTTTCTTCTGTTATAATAATTCTTTTGTTTGATATAATAATTAGTTTAAATCTTTAAACAATTTAATTATTTTTTCTCTCAATTTTTTTTCAATTGAGTCACAATACTAATTCACTTTTTGAAGTCAAAATTCCTTTTTTGTGTTCACTCTTCAACAGTCAGGACAATAGTGTAGTACAATGATAAAATATTTTGCGACAGTCATATTTACCCCGAGCCTCCGTATCGACAAAAACAATAACAATCACTACTTACTCATTTGCAAACTCTTTGCTAATGATTTGCAACATAAAGTAGCTTTAAGAACGCATCAAAACGTGAGACGTCATACTTAGACTGACATACTCAGAACCAAACTTTACGATACTTTCTTGAAATAAACTACCATCATTCAAAATAATTTTGTTTAAAAAAATTAACCGAGTGTTTTCATTGGCTCAATAACCTCTTAGTAAAATTTAAAAAATAAAATTAGTTGTAATTTTTTGTGCTATTTATCGATACTCAAATTAAGAATCTCACATAGTTGTACTAATTACTACTTAAGTACAACAACTGTCAAATTGTTTTTGTATTACACTGCACAGATATATGTCTGTGTGGGTGCTCGTTTTGCGGCTCTACTGAAAAGAATTATTCTTTACAAATTAATATCATCAACTCTATTAGTATTGAAATGAAAAATGCGCACCGAATATTCGAGAATCAATTTTGAAAGAATAAATTACTTAAAAAGAAATCTTTTTGAACAATTGCAAGTAAATTGGAAACCTTTGAAATATTTTCGAATCTTTTAAAGTCATCGCAGGAAACTTTGTTAACCCGATAGTTGATGCTTGAATGAATGTCATATAACATAATTTATTCGGTTAAAGCATAAAAATTCAAATATATTTAATATTTTTGAAATTTGTATTTAAATTCGATTAAACAAAATGTTTTTTTTTTGTCAAACTGATTCGAATCGTTCACATAATTCAAATTATAAAGAATCGCAATGAAACGTTTATACCCCCTAAGGTAGACCTCAACAAATATTATAAACGATAAAGTACAAATCATATTTACTTTCATGCAAGTACTACACGTTTTATGATTGTTGTTCTAGATTCAAAACATAAATCAATGCAATATTTAAACGAAAATATTTAGTTCTCTCTCTCTCTCTATTGCTTAAAAATGCGTTGGCCTTAAAATTTCATTAAAAAAACATAACTTCAAAGTTCCTTTAACAAGGTAGGAAGGAAGAAGAAAACAGCGGAGCAACTAGATAATGATACCAACTAAACTAAAAATGGCATTACAAAAACCCAACGATGAACTTTGACTTTATTATGAAACTAGAAGACCATTTTTAGAAAATCGAAGTCTGTTTAACTTAATAAAGAGATAACATATAATTTTTTAACGGATGGTAATGAAATTTTACTGTAGAGAGGTTGAGTGAACTTAACCTTAAGTTAATAATAAATAGTTTGTCTGATTCATAGCCGGAACGTATTGATTTGTAACCGAATAATATTTTTAGCTGAAAATTCAATTATCGATTCTTATGTACTCTGATGAAAAGTGGTTGACGACAACGATGTGGTGATGAGTTTTTTTTTTTTCACTTCGATCAATTTTCATCAATAAATAAAAAAAATTAGAGTCAAATAAAGGTGAGCTCAAGTTGACCAAATTTCTCAGTATCAAAAGCAGTTGGTTCGTGTCCACTTCAACATTTTATACATTATCCACTGAAACTCTTAGGATGTCCTCAAACTATTTTGATGAAGAAATGAAAACGTGGGTTAGTGTTTGCCCACCAATTGTATTAAATCCAAAGATTTCATTAGGCCATGGTATTTTATGGACGTTATCTAAGAATCCACATAAAATCGTACAGGTAACGTAATGAGCTTGACGTTAAATAAAGCCTGCTTCATTACAAAAGCGTATTTATTAATTATATAAAACGGTGAACATCAGATCAACCACGAAACAAATATCCAACTGACCAGTGAGTATATACGTCGCTGTACAATTCGTGCTGCCATAAATCTCCAACATTTTGGCTGTGAAAAGGGAGATATAATCGGTATTGTTGCGAAAAACAGTCATTACGTTGCACCAATTGTGTTTGCATCAATTTGCATTGGGTGTCCTGTAAATACATTGGATCCATCATTCTCGAAATCCGAACTAATTCACATGCTATCAATTACAATGCCAAAAATTATGTTTTGTGATGCGAACATCTATGAATTGATTCAAGATTGTTTGAACGATATCGAAAATGGCGCGAAAGTGTTCACATTCAGTGGCCAATCAGGTGATTCTATTCCAGTCGAGGATTTATTCGAAGAGGTCAACGACGAGGACACATTTTCGTAAGAAAAACATGACAGTTTTTATTAGTTTTGAATTGAAATGTTGAGGAAATCGATTTAAATATGTTATAGCCCAGTTGACGTCGATGGAGAGAATACAACCGTTGCTATTATTTGTACATCTGGATCGACCGGTTTTCCCAAAGGTTCAAGTTCAAAAGTTAATTGTTTAAATTATTTGTCAAAATGTTTTCTCTTTCTCCAGGTGTTTGTTTATCGCATGCCATTTTAATGCAACAATGCGTTGAAAACATGGTCCGTGAAGATGATGTGGTTTTAACGTTTAGTACAATTTATTGGATTTCTGGCCTTCTGCAATTGATATGCAGTGCTATTAAGGGTTTTCGTCGAATAATTACAACTGAACGCTTCAGCGTTGAATTAATGCTGGACATGATTGAAGAGCATCGTGTACGAGCTGTATTCAAATATGATATATGAACATTTTCCAATTTTTTTTCAATTAAACTAGTAATCCGTCCCATTTTAGATTACATTTTTTATGAGTGCAAGTCATTTTCTTCATTTGGCCTTGAAATGTGAGCAATTTTATCGAACGGATTTTTCAAGTATACGTGTGTTAATGTGCGGTGGCACCAAATTATCAATTGCAACGGCATTGGAAATGAAAAAGTTTTTAAAAAACGGCGCCATTTATCCGGTGTATGGAATGAGTGAAGCGGCCGGTTGTTTATCAGTTGCAGCTGTGAGAACCGAACTAGACACTTCCGTGGGCCGTTTGGTATTTGGCACAAAGGCAAAAATTATCGATAATGATGGAAATCGGTTAGGAATTAATGAATGTGGTGAACTTTGTATAATGACAAAGTTCAAATTTTTAGGCTATTTTGGTAATGAAGAAGCCACAAATGATGCTGTTGACGATGAAGGTTTTTTGAAAACGGGCGTTATTGGGTATTTTGATAACGACAATAATTTATACTTGGTCGATCGAAAAAAAGATATTTTGAAATACTGTTCATCACAAATCTCACCCACCGAACTGGAACAATATTTGATTAAGGTGCCAAGTATTAAGGCCATTTGTGTCGTCGGTATTCCGCATGAAACGGTTGGTGATTTACCCGCAGCCGTTATCGTTCGAAATGAGAACGTAACATCGATAACACATGACGAGGTTGAAAAAATGATTACAGGTACGACAACTTTTGACTAGACTTTTGAATTGTACATTATGACATCACATAACTTATTTATGAAAAACTGTCAACTAAATAACTAGGTAAATGATAAAAACGTTTGTCGATGAGTTGTGATGACATTGTTTTTGTTTTGTAAGAATGACTTGCAATAATTTCGTTGCCTACATTTTGGCTGGAATTTTACGAGAAAAATTGAACGAACAATGACATGATAATATATGGAATTTAACTTTTGTTATTCTTAGATAATTTTGCGGATTACAAACGTTTACGTGGAGGTGTATATTTTGTGGATACATTACCTTTGACGCCATCAGGAAAGATACTACGTCGATGTGTAAGAGAAACGGCCATCAAATTGTACAATGATACACTTGAACTAGACGCCTAAATCATGAAAAATTCAAATGAATCACATGCCTTTTTTCTCATGCAATATTCAAACAAAACGCTGTGCAAATGAATACGTATACTTCATCACTACATTGTATACATTGCACACTTGTTTAAAATACTATTTCTATTCGTAATTATCGTGTGTGTTTCAATGTTTCCGAGCAAATGATACAGCTGCAGTTCATTAGAATTGCAGTGAATAATACTGAATATTTCAATAAAAACCGTCTCGCTTAAAACGAGCGACAATTTTCAGAATTTGAAACATTTGCCGTTTTTCATTCCAAGGATCAACATATCATATCCATATTATTGATTGATTGAAATTGCTAACAAAAGCCTATTTTCTGTGTTGTACAAACACTACATCACTTTTTTTCTGGAATCAATATTATAAACGGTGAATTGCAATTCAGTTCGATTTGAATCATATCGTCGGTCGGCCGCTATATTGGATGCATTCGATTTAATTTAATTAGTTCAAAGAAAGAAAAAATGTTCTCAACAAAATACGACGAAGAAACAAAAGTGTGGAGGGGTCATGATGAAGTGCCGATGTACAATCCAAAGGTTTCACTGGCTCAAGTACTTCTTACCACAATGAAAAACATGGGACAGAAAGTGGCCCAAGTAATTATACAAATTTAATATCATGTAAGTGCACTTTTTTTTGAAATGCATTCTCGTTACAGATAAGCGACGATAATGGCGTTGAATTGACTTTTGAGGAGATACGCCTCAAAACAATTCGAGGCGCTCAAAATCTTCAAAACCTTGGTTATGAGCCGAAACAAGTGTTTTCATTGATGGCAAAAAATTCACATCATGTCGCACCGATTGTATTTGCATCGATAAGTATTGGTTGTTCAGTTAATACTCTTGATCCGACATTCGGTAAAATTGAACTAATTCATATGCTGAATACCACCAAACCGTGCCTAGTGTTTTGTGACGACGATAATTATGATTTGGTGAGTGAATGTTTGACGGAATTGAAAAACGACGCAAAAGTCTTCACATTTGGTAATGACACCAAAGATGGAGCAGAATCAGTCGACAGTCTTTTTTCGGAGACAAATATCGAGGATGATTTTATGTGAGTGAAAAAAAAAGCAAAATGTACACATTCGCGGAAAATAAACTTTTTTGGGGAAATTATATTTCAGCCCCGTTCGAGTTGATGGTGAAACCGAAGCGGCAACGATAATTTGCTCTTCTGGTACGACCGGCCTGTCCAAAGGTAATTTACACTAATACGGACGTCCAAAAGGTCTCATTTGCGTATTGCGTTGTTTTTTATATTTTTCAAATTGTTTCAATGTTGTTGAATAAACAACAGGTTTTTTTGCTAATTTTATTTATTACAATCTACAATTTAAATAAATTCATCTTTGATTGCATGCAATGTAGGAGTTTGTCAGTCGCATGCAGCGCTACTTGATTCAATCAACATGTTCGGTTTGTCGAATATCAGTGATATCATGCTATGTTTCAGTTCGTTATACTGGCTGAGCGGTTTAATGGTTTTATTGAAAGGTACAATTTGCGGTGCAACGCGTATCATTACCACCGAACCTTATTCACCCGAATTGCAGCTTCGTTTAATGGAAAAATATAAAGTGACGTATGCAATGAATGCACCGCATCATTTAACATTGATGATGAAAAATGAGCAATTTACTAATACGGATTTATCAACGTTGAAGTATCAATTTGTTGGCGGAAGCAAATGTCCACTCCATGTTAAAACTGAAATGAATTCGTATTTACCGAATGGAAAAGTGTATTCTGGTTATGGTATGAGCGAAGTGTCTGGCGTAATATCATGTGATTTCCCAGGGTCAATCGAAAAAGATTGCGTTGGCAAATTGAGTAATGGATATGAAGTGAAGATAATCGATGATCAGGGTGAAAAATGTGAACCAAATGTTGATGGTGAAATTTGTTTGAAAACCAATTACAAATTTCTTGGATATTATGCCAATGACAAAGCAACGGAAGAATTATTCGACGATGATGGCTATATGATGACAGGAGACATTGGCCATTTCGATGACGACGGAGATTTATTCATTGTTGATCGAAAGAAGGATCTTTTGAAATTTTGCAACATGCAAATTTCACCGTCACAAGTTGAAAGTTATATTATTGAATCGCCGGAGATAAAATCGGTATGTGTCATTGGCATACCAGATGACGAAAATGGTGATTTGCCAGCAGCAGTTGTTGTTAGAGCAGACGGATCTGATGTGAGCGGAGAAGATATTTATAATATGGTTGCAGGTATGTTATGAGGGAGTTCAATTCAGACGAGAGTTTTCCCTATTTATTGATATAGCTAACAGAAAATAATATTTACTTTTATTCTAGAACATTTTTCCGATCACTTCAAACTTCGCGGTGGAGTTTATTTCGTTGATTCGTTGCCGACAACACCTTCGGGCAAAGTATTAAGAAGAAAAGTGAAAGAAAGTACAATTGAGTTGTACAACATACATAAAGAATAGTTTTTTTTTCACCAAATTTGTTTGATGGAAAATCAAAATAAATCAAATTCGCATGAAAACGCACATTCACTCTTAAATATATATTCGAATTTATACAAAAGTTCATACTTTGAATTTATCGTACGTTAGAAGAACTTTTAATTTAATTTAACTACATTTAGCACTTTTAAAGTTTATCAATCAGTTTATTGTTGACATTATTGCTAAATTCTGAGTAATAAACGTATTGATTTATGAACAAAAGTCGAAGTTGTTTTTATTTGGTTCAAAAAATATGATATGGCGCAATTACACAAAGGGCTGTTATCGGGAATAGCATATGCGACACATTGTATCATTTAATACACACGAAACTTCCAGTGGAATCTATAGGCAAATCTATTATTTTTTTTATTACTTTATTATCATTATTGTTTACAGAAAAATCTATGATACAAGGTCCAATTATTCAGTATTATAGATATTTAAACTCAAAACACGGCTTTGATTGTAGTTTTAGATGTCCATTAGGCTGTATCGATAATAGTTGAACGCTGGGATTTAACCTATGCAGATTGATGAGAAAAGTTGATATTGATCCAAATAAAAATAATTTTGTGCGAGAGGTACACCCAATTTTCAATAGAAGTCATTCGAACTTTCGGACCAAATATTTTCACATCTTTCCTATATCATACATGTCTCACATTCAAAGATCCACATTGTTGGCCATTTTCGCAATATTTATATAAAAAGTACATCGAAAATTAATTTTATCACAAAACTTAGATTCTGCTTTCTCATTCTAATCACAGCGTGAACTGTCGTAAAATTCTTAACAATTAGATGTTGTTGTTGTTGTTGTTGTCGTTGCTTATGATGGTGCGTTAGACGCTCCGAAAGCAAGTAGTTGGATTGTAAATTCGAAAGAATTTAATATAGTAAAATCAATATAAGGCGAAGAACAACAACATCTAGTTATCTATCATCTCTTGGTCTCAATCTGCATAGCAGAGTTCGCAACTCCGACCGAACACTGTGCGTAAGAATAAGAACATGCAAACAGCGCCGCACTCGAATGCATTTGATTTGAATTATAAATTGAAGCGGTGCGAGTTCGAACTAACCAAATTACACTAACAAAATCTACATACACGCTCAGTGTTCGACTCCGACCGGCCGCCGGTCCCGACCGAACCGAAGATGGTCGGAGAACAGTCAGTATCGGAATGATTTCGCCATCGAATTTTTTTCGGAATTCAGTATTGGTCGGATGCTCGATGGAATTCGTCAAATTTAAGTTCTGATTGGGTCAGAATAAAAAATCGACTTGCAGTGCATAGGTTACAGCCGGTGTATATTTGTATGAGATTGGAGACTTTTTTTTGCGAATCTCGCTAATGAGCGCCATCTGATTTTAGTGTGAATTAGATGCAAAAACTGAATTTAATTCTGTAGCATTGAAATGAAAAAGTGAAAAAACAACAACAATAGCACGGCCACACAGAGCTGTACATCTATGCGTGCTGATGCATACATACACATATACGCTTTCTTCATTCTTTCATTCCATTGCTATACGTATCTCACTGGTCAACAGATCTATGTAGCCATGTTACTGTTGTTGTTTTTTTTCTCTTTTTCGATTCAATTCATTGTAACTAAATTGAGTTCAACTATGGAATACAAGATGGCACAGATGAGGGGAATTCGCATTTTGTCTCTTCATAGGCTTAGCCGGTTGATAGGTTAAAAGTTCAACGTCCAAGAAATTTGCACTACTTCTATAATCGATTCACCCTAATACAGTGGGCATTGTAATGGGCCCATTACAATCATTATCTTAACATGTATCATGTTTGTCATGCGATAAATGATATGTACACAAATAATATATATAATAATTGAATCTACTGTATATGTTCATTCAGTATAATTTTGAATGTCTAACAGTAAAGTCATTCTCAGAACACGCTCTTTTAACTCAGTCAGTTTTTACAGGAAAAAACACCTTTATTTATCTGTTTCATTAAAAAAAATGTGCTGTACAAAGTACAATGAAGAAGCCAAAGAATAGAGTGGTTATGATAGACCTCCAATTTTCAATCCGAAAATCTCATTAGGTCATGTAATCTTAAAATCCTGTATGATATATGAATCAAATATTGCTCAAGTACGTATACAATTCAGCTTGTAATTCAGTATTAAGTGATTTTCGTGATAAATTGTGGTTCATTATTTCTTATTCGTGTAAATAACATTTTAGATAAGTGATTTTTTTAAACGCATTCTCGTTGCAGATAAGCGACGATAATGGAATTCAATTGACTTTTGATGAAATTCGCCTAAAAACTATTCGAGCCGCACAAAATCTTCAAAAACTTGGATATGAGCCGAAACAGGTGTTTGGATTGATGGCAAAAAATTCACATAATGTCGCACCGATTGTATTTGCATTGATAAGTATTGGATGTCCAGTCAATACACTAGATCCAACATTTGGAAAAGTCGAATTGATTCATATGCTCAGTATAACAAAGCCAGCGCTGATGTTTTGTGATGTCGAGGCTTATGATTTGGTGAAAGAGTGTTTAACGGAAATGGGAAATGGTGCCAAAATTTTCACATTCGGTGGTAGTAAGGATGGATCAAAACCAGTTGAGGATCTACTTTCAAAAACTGAAAATGAAGACGATTTTGTGTGAGTTAACTTTCAAAACTCAACAAATTAGAAATCCACACTCATTATACAATCATTTTTTTTGATGTTTTTTATGTAAATAACGTATTTTATAACAGTCCGTTGAATATTGATGGTGAAAATGAAATTGCTTTCATTGCTTGTTCTAGTGGAACTACCGGCCTTTCAAAAGGTCTTTACCAAACCTTTACAATTGCATTGTCTTGCTTGCTTGTCGTTAACATAAACTAATCTAATTTTTTTTTATAAATTGCCCAACATAATATTCAATTATTGGCAGGAGTATGCTTATCGCATGCATCTCTTCTTAGTGTGATGGATCGTGGCACTTCGATAAATTCAAGTGACGTGGTATTTTTTGAAAATATGATCACTCACCAGCTGTGATTTTACCTGTGATTTTTTTTTATTGATTAGATTTTATGCTTCAGTTCTCTATATTGGCTGAGTGGGATTGTTTTTCTCTTTTATGGAACATTAAATGGATCAACTCGTATCATTACAACCGACGCCTATGCGCCAGAGTTGCAATTACGTTTCATCGAGCAATATAAAGTAACGGTTACGATGAATGCACCACATCATCTAACATTGATGCTGAAAAGTGCTGCGTTTGCTAAAACAGATTTATCAAGTTTAAAGCGACAGATGACGGGCGGAAGTAGAACTCCCATGATTGTAAAAAATGAGATGAATTCATGTCTTCCGAATGGGCGGGTATATGTTGGTTATGGTCTGACCGAAATCAGTGGCATAGCTGCAATTGACGATCCTTTGTCAAAGGACAAGGACACTGTTGGCCGACTTAATGTTGGAATACATGTTAAAATAATTGATGAAAACGGCAAACGGTGCGGTATTAATGTTAACGGTGAAATTTGCCTGAAAACGAACTATAAATGTTTGGGCTATTACGAAAATCCAAAAGCCACCAACGAATTATTTGACAGCGAAGGTTTTATTTTGACCGGAGACGTGGGCCATTTTGACGAACATGGTTATTTATACATTGTGGATCGGAAAAAGGAATTCTTGAAATATTGCAATTCACAGATTTCACCATCAGAAATTGAGAGCTTTTTGATTGGATCGCCACATATTAAATCGGTGTGTGTAGTTGGAGTACCTGATGATTTTGCTGGTGATTTACCAGCAGCCGTTGTTGTTAAAACTGAAGGATCTAATATCACGGAAAAGGATGTGTTTGATTTAGTTTCAGGTAATTTCGATATTGAAGAAAAAGAGTACATCTATCATTTTTCAAGGTTTTCTCATCCACAAATTCCTTTTAGAACACTATTCGGACATTTATAAGCTTCGCGGTGGAGTTTTTTTCGTTGATTCATTGCCTGCAACTCCATCGGGCAAAATTTTGAGAAGAAAAGCTAAAGAGATCGTACTTTCATTATTAAGTTCTTAGTTTTACACATGCATGTTTATTCTGTTTAAGATTTAATCAAACATTATATTGAAATATTTTCAGGCAGCTGATTCAGCTCAGAAAGCTAACGTCAGGCGCTGAAACTGAGTGGAAACAATAGAAGTTATTGACAACTTATTGTTATAGCGGTTGCAGCAATGTAGGTGATTTACTGTTATTTTCACTCCGTTTCAGCGCCTGACGTTAGCTTTCTGAGCTGAATCAGATGCCTGAAAATAACTCAATGTAATGGTTGGATTAAAAAAAAAAATACTTTTAAGTGAACAAATTAACTATAATTGCGAATACTCTCAATTACTCTCCGACGTATTTATATGGCAAAATTACAACAAAAAGTACACTCATTTTTTATGACGATTAACTAAAGTTACTTTGTAGTGTCGCCTTGTAGGCTACAAGTTGTAGCATATACAGCTTTCTATTAAACGTTTATTGTCTTTCTCTCTACATCATTCTACATCCGTAAGTATATTATGTATTATACGATCTGAAAAAATTAAATGTGCACCAGTTAAACGATGCACAAACATCACATACAGCCTATATGCAGTGCAAAATAAAAAAAAGTCACAATATAGAATAAAGCATTATCTGATGATCATATGTAAACTTCGAGCTAGTATGTCAAATTGATATTTTTGCTCTAGATCAGGGCTGTAATTTTCACTCTGTCAGTGTGCGCACATATCCAAGTCAGTAGAATACTCTTTTAGAAGAGAGTACATTCTTTTCTCACTCTATTCGTATGCATAGTACACATGGAAGGAATGGGAATTGAATATACGTGTTTAATGCAAAAGAGTGATAAGAGAGTCGAATAAAACTATACGAAAAGAGTGAGAAAAGAGTCTACTCTCTCCTAAAAAAGTATTCTACTGACTTGGTTAGTAGTGTGTACACTCACGTTCCATGTGCGACGCTCACAATGCTTGTATTTTCAATGTGCACGCACATTTAGCCACAAGTTTTTGACCGTTGTCCAAAAATTGTAAACCATCCTTTGAGATGTCAAACTTTTGTGCAAGTGTGCGTCGTACATGGAATGTGATTGTACACACTACTATGTGCGCACACTGACAGAGTGAAAATAACAGCCCTGCTCTAGATCCCTACTATCGAGAATTTATGACATAAAATTGAGTGGATTACTCTTCTTGTATGTGTAAATAATACGAATATGTGGAATACAAAAATATCGGTTGCAGAATTGCTTAAATATGTTGGAAAATTGTGAATTCAATCAATCTGATGAGTGAATTGTTATTTATTTCAAAATAGCGATTAATTCATCTGCCCTGATTTCGATAAGAACTTATCAAGAAAAAGACTTGTGCGCCATTATCACAAGTTTATATTTATCTAGATTGATAAAAACGAGTTTTTTCTTCATCGAGTGGAGGAAATCAATAATAAGCAAAACCGTTGAAGCAAAGAAATATTCCAGTACTTTGTAAGCGGTATAGCAGGTTTAAAAGTTCTTCTATTGAATCAGTCGGCCGAAGGAAATTAGCAAAGATGCAGTACTCAACGCGATTTGATGCAAATAAAAAGGTTTGGTTTGGTCCAAGTAGTGACTTTAAAATAGATAAGCAAACCAACTTTGGTGATATTCTCTTGGAAAACCTTAACGATACTGATGCCGAACGGGTGATACAAGTAAAGTGAATTTCAAAATAGTTTTTCAGATTTAATATGTAATACTGTGACATATGTGTAGATTAATGGTGACACCGGCGAAACACTCACAAAGGCTGAAGTTCGTAAGCGGACGATACGATGTGCTCAAAATCTGATTCGATTGGGATGCAAACAAAATGATTGTATCAGCATTATTTCGCGTAATCATCACAATTTAACGCCGCTTCTATATGCAGCAATTTGCATTGGATCTCCGGTTAGTCCATTGGATGTTGTGACAGTGAAAGGTTCGTTTCAATTTAATTTAAGACTTTGGAATTGATTTATACTTCAATGGCACTCAAGTACTACGTTACATCATTGCAACAGTGTATAAGTGAAACTTCGCCGTTGTGTAGTTTTTATACACAAATTAAACGTAGACACAAATCGTCATGAAATTACCCGAACCATGGCCTGGAAATGCCTATGTAATTTACATCTAAACGAGTGAGACTCAAACATGTGCTTCCTCTTCAAAACAATACAATACACACTAACTCACAAACATCAAAAGTATACGCCACAACAGCAAAGTGCTGAGTGCAAGCACAAATACATGCGCGCGCTACTCAGCTTTGTTTCTGTGATGAATACCCGTGTACAAAAAAAGTGACTGTAAAAACAAGCAACCTTAGTTAAATTTAGTTAACTTCAATCAATTAAAGTAAGCTATGGTTAACTGCAACAGCTAACTATAGTTGACAATAATCATAGTCACCCGATAGTCAAAACGTCCCAAAATAATCGCCTGACTGACTGAGTAGCTATAGTCGATTGTTTTCCAAAAACAAAATTTTAAAATTCATGAATATAGCTAACTATAGTCACTTACAGTCAATAGTAACTTAGTCACTTTTTTTCCACTCGGGTACTAATTGACTTCTGCTGTACATTTGATGCTTGTGTATGTATTGTCTTGAAGAAGAAGCACATGTTTGAGTATCATTCATCTCCGCCCCTTGACCCGAACAATATACAAAGAAGTTTTTAATCGATCATTTTAATATAAGGAATATTATTTCAAGTCACTAGGACGATTCTAAAATTCATAATTTTCTCGTGGGTGTGGCTATTCATCTGAACAGTTGGACGACGTTTTATGTCTGTCTATTGCGCTTTGCAATCGTTAAATTTGACTGTTTTGTTCATTTACAGATGGAATTTCTTTGATTCTTCAAAGAGTAAGACCAACATTTATTTTCTGCGATTCTGATGTTTTGCAAACGATTAAGGAAACGACCACCGATATTGGATTGAATACAAAGCTGTTTACGGTGAATGGATCACTCAATGGATTTGATTCAATCGATAGTTTAATGGTTGAAACTGGCACTGAAGACTCTTTTGTGTATGTATTTCCAAAAAAGGTAACAAAATAATGCGTTTGTACTGGTAAAAACACCGGTTTTCATTTCAGGTGTGCAAAAATAGCCGATGCATGTTTGCAAACGGCTGTAATTTCTTGCTCTTCTGGTTCCACCGGACTTCCAAAGTCGATTTGCATGAGTCATGCCCTTTTTTTGAACATGTTTTCGAATCGAATTTCTCAATTTCCATTCATTAGTTTGAGCTTTAGTTCATTGTATTGGTTATCTGGCATTTGGGCAAGCATATCACCGGCTTTTAAAAATACCCGTATCTTTACCACGAAACCATTTTCTGCTGAACTATTTTACGAGTTAGTGGTAAAACATAAGGTAAGTACTTACAGTTTGGTTACATTTTAAAAACTCAATTTCAATTCCTTGACTCATTTACTCTTGTATAGATTCAATTTTTCTTTGGTCCACCGTGTCAAATGCAAGCATTTCTTAAGAGTGAGCAATGTGCTAAGGCTGATTTGTCATCACTTTTGGCGTGTTTTATTATTGGTGGCTTCATTCCATCCGTTTTAGTTCAAACGCTAAAAAAATTCCATCCAAAATGCAGTATGCTTACAGGTTACGGTATGACTGAATTTCTACTGCTTGCAACTTAAGTAGGTTTTTGCTACTTATATTAATATATTTCTTTGTGTTGAAATTTTGTAGGAATGACGGAAATTGGTGGAGGCGCGAGTTGTACTGCACCAAATGAATTGGAAGAATATCCAAATTCTGTTGGGCGCTTAGTTCCAGGCGCAAAAATGAAAATAATAAGTGAAAAAACCGGCGAAAAGTGTGGAATCGGTAAAGAAGGCGAGATTTATGTGAAGATTCCAGTTCCAGCAATCGGATACTATAAAGATGAAACAGCCACTCGAAGTGCCTATGATAGTGAAGGGTATTTTATCAGCGGTGATCTTGGCTATTTCGATGAATCTGGTCGGCTGATTGTTGTCGGAAGAAAAAAAGAAATTTTTAAAAACTGTGGATTCTCCATTTGGCCGGCTGAGCTTGAGGATCTCATCATAAAAAGTCCAGCCATTAAAGAGGCTTCTGTTGTTAGTGTCTATGATGATGAAGCAGTGACAGATTTACCCGCTGCACTTGTTGTGAAACAAGATAATTGTTCAATAACAGAAAATGAAGTTTATGCTATTATTGCCGGTAAGATGTTCAGTGTGTAACAGTGTCAAAATGTAAATTTCCATTATTTTTTAACACAGATCAATTGCCTAGTTACAAGCATCTTGATGGTGGCGTTTACTTTGTTGATGAATTGCCAATGACACCATCCGGCAAAGTTATCCGATACAAAGTTCAGAAAATGGCACAGAAATTCTATCAACAACGAAAATGCGGTCTTTAACATAAAATTCAATGATAAAGGTTCGATATTTAAAATGAATGAAATTACTATGAATGGATTTATTATTTTGTATATGTCAATAATATTGAATGTTAATTTACAACAATAAAAGCGTTTTTATCACAACATAAATATTCATAAAAATGAAGTAGAAAACTTTGTGGTAAATAATTTATGGTATT